AGGTATTGGTGGTAAAGATGGTACAGGTGGCATTGCAACCATCGGGTCAACATGCTGCCTTGCACCTCCTGCAAGCTGTGCTAGTGGAGTCACGGACGGAGGTATGAAAGGAGCAGCACCTACATTAGCATGGTAGGTATGAGGCATTATGTTAGAAGTGATGTGGTTTGGAGGTAAAGGATGGTTCATAGAATGGCCATCCCAAGAATTACGTGGATCAACATAAACAGGCCGCATAAATGGCAATGCTTGATTTTGATGCGGTGGAACAAGAGGAGGCCCCTGTGTAGCCATGGGTGGGCATTGCATGCTTCCTCCTGATGAAAACTGCAGCTCAGTTTCAGGTTTGTTATAAGTCCACATTTGTCCACCGACGTGAGCAGTGTGACCTGGCATTTCAAGAACAAAAGCCATGAGCAAAGGATTGTGCTAATCAGGAAGAAGTGCAAAAACAGGTTAGATTTTTCCATGAAATATTACTCGCTTGTGAGAAATTTACTGCCATGTTAGTATTCGGACCATCAGGATTTGAATAGCTCCCAGCTCCAGTTTCTAACATCTGCGTACAACCAGAACTGGACCAGTTCAATGGAAACGCGTGCCCATTTCGTACCATAGTTCCGTGATTCTCTGAGTCCATTCTAGGGGATATAAGCTCATGAGTGCCGCTCTCAGATCTATTTATGAAGGACATGCTGCTGTTTTTCCCTGGTTGACTGCTCGAGTCACAACAACAGAATATATCATGAGAATAAGTACTTTGATTTTACCTATCAGATGCTGACACGGCTTGGGATGTAATGACCCAAAAAAGAAAATATTTACAAACAGTTTCTGCATAGAAATGTATCAGCACCCTAGCAATATCATATCAAGATCCTCCTAGCAGAACAAGTTTCAAAGAAAAATGGGAAACATTGAGACTTGCTAGCCAACGTGAAGTACTTACAAAAACTTGAAGAATAGAACAGAAGATTCATGATTATAAAACTTAACACACATAGGAAAACAAATAAAGAAATTCAAATGAAATCAACAATCTTTAGGAATTGAAATAAGGTTATGACATGGGACTCTTCGAGCATAGATTAACAGATCACATCAAGATTTATAAGTTCTAATGTCCTTCACCTCTACACAAAATTGTTTCCAATAATGGGTTATCATCCCATGCACAATTGCTACTGTGATGGTACCCAGGTGGATTGCAGTCTATAGCTGTTCTTATCTAGTAAACAGTCAGTTTAGACTATTTTAGCTTGCCAATCTTGTACTTAATGTGCTTCTAGTCTTTTCTTTTTATTTTTTTATTTTGGGAGAAAAAACCATCAAATGGTCAAAATAAAGAGTAAGATTATATTACAAGTATAAAAAATCAAGTACACAAGTAAATGCTGAGGAAGTTATATTTCATGCATTCTTATATCTACGCTTCTCATAATAAAGATTTGTGAGTGGTTCACTTCTTCATACCTGAATTCTATCTGGAAGAACATGCCGGGACAGCTCCGAAGATTTTTCAAAGCAGTAAGAGCAGCGTCTACACTGCTTAGTTGAACAAACCAGCAGGAACTAAGATGCAAATTTTCCCTTGTCAACCTGACAACAGATCCGACATTTCCAACAGCATGATTGCAGACAGACATAAGCTCGTCATCAGTGAGGAATGTTGAGCTAATATGCGGTAAACCGATTCTGAGAATGTTGGTGGGTACTCTGTCTTCATCTCTTGTAGTTGCATGGTAGCTTCGAGGTATATTGTATCTTGAAGATAAGGATAAAACCAATAGAGATAACGGAGACATCCTCATGTTACAATTCTCATTAGGACTATCAAACACAGCCGGAACATGGGGTGATCCTGTGCTATTAGGTGTGTTTAATGAAATATTACCAAGAGGATTATGCATAAATCTTCCGCCATCCGAATGACACCTTGGAAACTCAGAGCTTCCTTCATTAGAAACCAAACTTCTATTGACTGCTATGTGCCCCCCATTTTCCTTGCGATTCTGCCGGAGATGCGCCATAACAATGGTAGCTTCTTCAGGTGTCTCAAATTCCATCAGCAAAGCATTTTCACTTGTGAGATCAGAAACCATGCGAGTCCTGAAACCCACTCTCATCACCTCTTGTAGTATCTCTTCTTTCATCCTTTGGCTTGAAACCTTTCCAACATATACATGCAAACTGGCACCAACAGCCACACCATTAATTGATCCCCTACTACCCAATCCTACATCTAGAAACTTGACTTGTATGTGGGAACCCCAAGGAGAAGATTCTCTCATACATTCACGAGCTTTTATAGCATCCATAATGTTTATGTACTGAACCAACGCAAATCCTTTAATAGGAAAGAACAAAAATTGTTCTATTGGACCAAACTTCTCAACATGAAACTTCACTCCAACTTCTGATGCATCAGGACCTAGAGAACCCAACCAAAGTTGTTTTGAAGCTGAAAACACATCCATGGCTGCAGAATCCCCATCAAAATACCACACAATATGATTAGATGAAGGATATCGTACCGAAGAATGTTGCTCAGGAGACTCCAAAACATTAGATACACGTGCAGTGGAAGATCTCATAGGTGTTGAGATGAAGTCATTTGCGACCTGCTTCTTGTCAAAGGGACTGAGATGGTTTCCACCTTCAAATGCATTCGTCCTGAGATTTATAGACATCCTGTTGACAGGTGAAAGAAAATTGTTGTTTTTTGCGGATTGCATATCATAACATGAATCCTCACGTTCACCAGTCTCCGGGTCTTTAACAAGCCATGCGCCTTCAGACGCATGATTGGAATTTTCATTCACCAACCGCATATTAAGATCAGGAGGAGCTACCAAACTACTGGACTTCATAGGTTGACCAGAAAACTTATCGCCAAATTCCCTATCCTCTCTATATGCATGACCACTGGATGCATCATGCAGATTTGGAGCATGATCATTGTCAGACTTCTCACTGTAGTTCTCATGTACCTTAGGTATCAGATATTTCCGATTGATATATTTAGATGAATCCGAGTTGTCCTCATCATTGCCTTGTTGGCTATCAACATTGTTGACCAATTCTGCAAAAGATTTAAAAACCCCCTCCAAAGCAGATGAAATGTCAGAGATAGCCTGAGATCGAACTGACTTGCGTAACTTTTTGAACTTCAAAAGAATCCAGTTTCTCAGAGATGGGTTTTTTGTAAGAGCCTGTGTATCCAAGAGAGCATTGTTAGGAACAGATCATATTGTGGTTTGGAAAAAACATAACGCATTAGGAATACACTACAATGAATCTTGATACATATTACAGAAACAAGGTTTGAAACTCATAGTCAAGTAAATAAGAATCATTATCTAGAAAACCAATATCATGAATCATTAAATAAACACTATACAAAAGAAGAAGGTAACTAAAGCAATCATCTTCCCGTTAAGCATTTAGCATAACAATAGTAAAACATCCATTCCAAGTATTAAGTATATATTTAAGAAAATCATATCTTCAAAGTTACATACAAGTATACAACTATACCAACCTTGCCATATTTGGTTGTGTTATTTTCAAGATACAGCCAGTTAAGAGCCCATTGGATTAAAAACAAAATACGTCCTCAAAGTGTACATCAATTCAAAATTAGTCCTCAAACTACACAAAATAGGTCCTCAAACTCTACATCAATTCAAAATCATAATAGATAGGACAACTGCCCTTGGCAAGGAGATAGAGAAACCAAGCAGATACAGCAGTTAAAAAAAGAATAAAACAGAGCAAAAATCAAAGAATAATAGCATGCATATCCTGTACACCAGAGCTTATTTAGTCCATTCACTTTCTAAGAGTGTCCTTTCTGCATATCCAATCACAACCAAAAAGAAAAAGGATTTATGTATAACAAGTTTGCTGCGGGAGGTGTGCGAGGGTTTGTGAAACAGGGTATAGTAGGAGCAAACAAATTTAATTATTTAAGTCTTCACTTGCTAGGATACTGAAAAAGATAACAGAAAAGATAAAAAAAAATAGCATATGTTATATATATCAGCATATGTTCAACTATTACCATTCCCAATAAACAGTTCTTTCTAGCAATTGACGAATCTGAAGCATCTGTAATTTCAGTCCCTTCAATAGTTGTCTCATCTGAACCTGTACATGATATAGGCTGCTCCTTCGTCTTTTCCGCGGAAGTTACAATGGCAGAAGGAATCTGGCTTATCACCTGCCTTAGAAAGTATTTGCCACCTTCAGAAGAGCCTGCATCTTCTGAGCTGGTTTTGAAGAGCTCAAAGCAGGCTTCAAGTAAATTCTTCGAACAACAAAAGAAAATTCTAAGCAGGCTAAGCACCCTGAACTTGTATAATTTAGACAATACAGGTTCATCTTCAAATTCTACTTTTTCATTCATATCAAGCAATGACTCTGAGGAATCTCGCACCTTCACGATGTCCTCAGCATCAATTTGATAGATATCCTTCCCCTCAAAGGACAATACAAAGAAAGTTAGTACATTCACAAAGACTGCAGAGCAGATACCTTGGATAACAGACGATGCCGTTGCATCCGATGTAGCAGCGCAACAGATATCCACCAGACCAAAAATAGAGGATTTGGCCGTCTTAAAAGCCACACCATCAGAATCATCTCCCCTTAGAATTGAAGCAAGGTTCAAGTTGTACATATTAATAGCTACTTTAGCAGCAGCCTCAATTGCATTTGGGCAATGAGATGCATATCTAGGAATCAGTTCAGATAATATCCGTTGTGCACTTGTGCAACCTGTATAGTCAATAGTGAAGCATGGATCACCATTAGACATAATTTAGTAAATTAACTTCAATATCAAATGCATCTGGATATAGTGATACTTCAAAAATCAGTGTACTCATTCATTTGATATTGCTTGGAGTAAAGAAAGTGTGGAAGTTTCACCCAGTACCCAACTTGCATTCTTTTCTTTCTTTCTTTTTCCTGGACAGGTATAAATGCAAGTTTGCTCAATAAAACCCCACAAATTGCTAAGAAGTTAAGAGCCTTGACACTAGTGACAGGTAAGCCTGCAGGCTGTTCTCAACCCTGTCAGGGGAGATGCCAACCGTCTCTCACATTCCTAGAACACTGGAAAACAAAATCTTACGGCTAAACCCCCCCAACTATTTTAACAAACTTGACTAACACAAAAATAAAACTACGATTTTCTGAGCTGGTGTAATACTCTTCTCCATCAATGCAAAATGTCAAATGTATTTTTTCAAGTCAGAGCGCCTACTGAAATGCATAAAGAAACATTCAGATATCCCCTAGGCTACATGAGAAGGATACGGCATCCCAAATGTAATAAATCCAAAGGTGTTGGCATCAAAACCTATGAGACTATGGCATATCCAAGGAAAAAGAAGAAAATGCATTATATGACATGAAACAACATAAAACATCTCATTACCCAACTGCAATTGAGGTGGGGGTGGGGGAGTTTGGATCATGATTACATCAATTATTTCCTTTCGTCGCCTCGTAATAAGTAAAACATCTCATAATATTTCCGTAACACTGGCACATTGTTGTCAGCGTTAGTAGCACTACCACATTGATTCCCACCATGTAGTACTAATGCAAATCAGTAACAAATAACAACAATATTTCAATCATTATCCCAAGTTTATTCATTATGATCTTCAAAAAAGGAATATACATTAACCTTAAAGCCCTTAAAATCAATGGCATCTGTTTGGTTTTGTTAGGAAAGAGAAATTGGCATACCAAGTTAAACCTGCAAAACAAGCAACTTTGGTAGCATCTATGACTAAATAGTAAATATATGAAATATTTACACTTCCTTGACACCTCCCAAGTTGACAACAAGCTTATAATTAACAAAATTTTGATAAATGGAATGTCGAAACGACTAACATTGAAGTACTCTATCTGATCATTCACAACTAAAATTAACAAAAAAAAAAAAAACTACTAACCTCTGGAGGCAGTGATAAGTGCAAGGTAAGCTTGTTCAAAGTCGGGCATAAGACGAGCATCTTTTTTAGAAACACAGAACTTAATTCGCCTATAAATATCATACAAGCTCCTAATTTCAGCTTTATTTCTTTGTTTTCTCAAAATTTCATCTTGGGATAAAGGTGACTGTTGATAATCATTCACAGCCTCAAGTAGCTTTCTCTTCTTCAAAGGTTGTTCTGCCAATGCCATTGCAAAAGCAACAGGTTTCCTCAACAGTTCCTCACTTTAAACCACAATAGTTTGCGCCACATTCTGAATCAAAACATCAAGAATCAACAAAAATTAAAACTTTGAATTCAACTAGGGTTTAATTAATAAAGCTTGAAGTATACTTTAATCTAATTTGGAAACAAAACTCAATAATTCTAGAATCGAATTGATTTAATAATATGTTTTGAATTCAACTGAAGAAAAAACCTGATAGTGAATTCTAGCTCGAATTGCTTCTTCGAGAGTTCAATTTGAGAAGCTTTGATAAACAAACACAATGATCAGAGAAAGAAGGAGAGAGTGGAATTCGCAAGAGAGAATATATGATTCGTGGGTAAATTGCTTTCCGAAGAAAACAATTACCAGTAGACTTTTCTTCACTTAGCTTCCACGTCAGGTCAATGGGCCAGCACGGACGTGGGCTTTAGCGAGTTGTCGGTATCTCTAACTGATCTGGTACCCATAGCCCATATCCATAGGTGACCAACCAAAAGTCCGAAGCCAGTTTTCATGTATTATTTGTTACCTACCACCTTGATAGTTGACTAATAGTACTACTCCTATATTATTAATTTTGACTTTTGTGATTTACATAGTCTCTTGACTCTTGAGTCTTGATCATCACCTAATCACAGATACTAAACCAAACTGATAGCGATGGAAATGTTTGATTAACCGTTCCAGATTCACACAACTGTCATCAAATTTTAAGCTGAAGTTGATTAAATTTGCAAATTGCTGATTATTTTTATCGATCATAGTAGTCAACGAGCGATTGTTCATATAGAATTCTGTGGACTTTTTGAGAAAAATATAAACACAAATCATTATACAGTATGAATTAAGAATTTATGATGGAGCAACACTCACAAAGCTAATTATGTCTCATCACATAGTTATATGTCATGCTTTCAGCTTCATATTAAAATCACCAAAAGAACTTTTACATATTCTGATATTCATCAACTCCTTTTCATCTATATTACATATACTCATTGGCTCATTGCATAGCAAGACAAAGAATGTCACTAATTAGTACTAATCATGATGATTATATATATTACTCCTGATGAAGGCCATAAAACATGTTTTAAAATTTATATATATTAAACCATTACAAGGTAGGTACGTATATATGGATATTTTTGTTTATTAACAACGGCATCTTCTCCTTTGTCTTCCAATGTTATCGTGGCTGAGAGATCTTGAGATCTAGCCCAAGGTCCATACCATTGTAAGCGAGCGGAGCATACATCCACATATCATCAGAACTTAAGAGCTGCAGATCGAATTATATTTCAAACAAGATGTAAGACAATGTTGAAGAAAAAACTGCGCGCTAGTAAATGAAATTGATTAATTTAAAACTAAAGCAATTCTGTTTCTCCTTAATTATATACACTGTACCTTGATTTGGACCTGCAGAAACTTCACGTAATGAACAGCTTCTTCAAGCATAGTACTAATGTCAACCTGCCACACCATCATAGAAACAATAAATTTGAGGGTTTTCAATTCAGGCCTTTCAGCATGCCAGCATTGCTAGCTTGCATGAAATAAATATCAAATGTGCTACTTACTTTTGTTCCATTTGGTACTAGGTTCTGTAGGATTCGCAACCGTTCATTTATTCTTTCTCGTCTTTTCTGGTTAAAGATAATTGAAAAATCAATGGTTTAGTTTGTTGCTTGACAAGCTCATATCAGTAATCAAAATTCAACTGCTACTTTTTCGCAAAATCTTACCCTTGCATAGATGCTTTGAGGGTCGGTTGCAGATCCCCTACCAGCTCTAGTTTTGCCATTCAAGTCAAGAGGTTCAGACCCTTTACAATCAGACTCCACTCCAATTACCTCTTGTGGAACATCTGTATCATCCTCAGAGATGTTGCTACTAGTGCTCTGCCCATTCATATCAGCACTTATCTCTTCCTCCTTGTTATTGGCTACGGGGTTCGCCTTATTCTTCTTTGATTCTGCGTTCTTCTTGTTCTTTCTTACCTGTATAATTAAATTGTAATAACAGTTAAACAACATAACCAATATGATCAGCATTGATAATTAAGAAAAGGGAACACAGCAAACAAGGTCAATTAAAGCTTCACATTATACTCACATATCCTGAAACTCGAGATTTCTTCTTAGGATTCTCAGACGAAATGGCTATGTTTTTAATTTCAGTGGCTGTTTCCGGTTGAGTCATCTCGGACTTCCTTTTTGGTTGTGATTTTGATTCAGGAGAGGAAACAGTATTTGATGGATGTCCTTCAGTGTCTCCCAAACTATCAGAGATTTCTTGGCTCAAGCAAGTAACCTCTTCCATTACATTGTCAGAAATAACCTTATTAGCAGAGAAGCTTGGATTTCGCTCCTCCATCATACAAAAGTCCATGGGCATTACATTGTTATTATCTATCAAAATCGAACTAGAATTGTTCAAATCGTAATTCTCTTGTTCCATATATGGAAGAAAAACACTAGTGCTATTACTACACCCTTTAGGAAAGTAATAAGAATTAGAGTTAGCATCATGACAGAAGTATAAATTTTCATCTAACCCAACCGCAGTCGTATCAGGCTCATGACAGGGCCAAAATGTGGATGCACTTGCCAAGCTCAAACTCCCGTCTTCCTGTTCGCTTGGAAAGGCATAATTACCAATAAACTGTGACATGAAACTGGCTTCCTCAGTGGAGAACATTCCTCCAAAGGAACTCCATTCACCCTCAGACATTGTTCCTAAACTCGCCATTCCTCCTATCTTAAACTTGAAAATAGACTCTAAAGAGATAAAAAGCTTTCGGTTAAACAACAGTTAGGAAAAGCTCGGCTTGCTTGATACTTGAAGACAAACAGAATTCTGTCATATTTATACCAACTCCTCCTGAGAATGTTGCACTCAATTGACTTCATTTCTATAATGAATTTCAAATTCTTAATTCCTAATCATTGAAGGAAGGGAGTTCCAAGTATTATGTATCCTATTGCACGAGTCCACGGTGGGGTCGACACGGAGCAATTATAGGCCAAGTTCAGGCAATTATAGGCTAAAAAAATGCAACCTTTCAACAGCCTTAAGCGTCTTCAAAATGCTTATGAAACACAAGCAAAATGATTAAGCAGTCTTGCAACAATCATATATTGAAATAAGACCAAAGGTGATTAACTGGTTTGTAAGATTGGTAATTAATGGAGACAAATTGTGACTGAGAATGTTAAGAGGGAGAACATACAGTCTGGCAAATGTGAGAACGTGGGGGTCTACTTGAATACAATAAGGTAAGAGCATTCCCCTTGAGAGTTGTATAACATAGATAAATTGAGAATTGTCGCATTGGACGGCAAGATCGTGGTGATTGGTCTGACATCTTAAATGTACGCGCGAATAGACAGTATATACGTCGACGTCGATCTTGTCCCCTTTGGTGCTTCTACCTAACACTTACTTTTTCCCTTGAACACCTTTATATATTGTATCACTTCCAATTCTCATCAGGACCTCAGTAAAACTGGTGGAGCTAGGATTTTGATCTAGGAGGGGTTCAAGGTATAATGTAACACATGGAAAATTGAAAGGGGGGGTTACCATTGAACTAAAACCTATTAACATAAGGGAACCCCTACCTGCCCCCCATGTAGCTCCGCCTTAAGTCACCATGACCAATGTAATAATTCCGATTGTTATACAGTAAGATTCGAGACTGCATTACATCCAAGTCCAACAGCTCCAGATCTTGAGCTAATTTGCAAAAAATTCCATATAGCAGGGGTTTGTTTTCTGTTTACTTTATCCATGAACCACAAGTGTTAGGAAACCGGTCTGGCCATTAACTTCACTAAATGAGCACAGAGCACTGATGAAAGATAAAACTCAAAGAACATTCAATTGAGTAAA